AGAGGGAGAGAGAGGGAGGGAGGGAGACGAAAGAAGAGCTAATCACCCAGGAAATTCATTCTCAACCGCAAATCGGGATCAACGAGAGACACGATCTGTCCGGAGTAACATTAAATTGACTCTACACACACGTACACGAAGCTTTTAACACGTATGTGCGTCGGAGAGACCCAATTTTTCAAATCGCACGTACCATCAATTCAAACGGTCCTCGGGAAATATCCGGCGACTCTCACGCCCACCATCGACTATACCACCACGACACAATCGACTATAAATTCCAAGTGCGGTACTGACGGATATACTAGGTTAGATATACTTAGAGGGAGAGAAGGGTGAATCGCGCTCTTCGATTCATCCCTTACGTAAGGGACGATATTATATACACACACACACACACGCACTAGCGGACAGAAATTTAAGACGACAATAATCGCCAACAGAAATTAAGTGGTTTTCTAGATGTGCGGAGGAAGTAAATGCTGCAGTTGACATTGATATGTTATGCAATATAATTTGGCAAATGTAATTTGCTAAAAAGTACGCAATAATATTAATCTTGTTCTGAGCTGGGTAAAAGAAAACTAATCTCACCGGCTAACAGACGATAGTTCAAGGCTATATTTCAGTGAATATTATACAGGGTGTCCAAAAAGTCCCGGACCGGTAAAATATCTCGAAGACAAGAAGAAATGTTTCGGAGAAAGATGTCTGGGAAAGAAATGTTTCGCACAAGAGTTGTATGGTTTCGAAGGGGACATAAAACAACTACCACCATTTCTCAACAACTATATCATTGTTTATACAGATTGTGCCACTTTCGAGATATTCACCGATCATTACTTTTCTTAAATGGAAACCCCAGTTGTTTATTAGATCATCTCTTTCTACCAATTGATTTGAACAATTTTTGTCTGAAACATTTTTTTTTACTTGTCTAATACCTTTTGGGATTTTTGAGGATAGATAAGATAGATAATTTTGTTGAGTGATCTTTATGTTTTAATGATTCAGCGCATCTCTTTGGCACCGAGTCTATTAACCTAATGCACTGGTAATATCTCCCATGCTGTTTTCATTGCAGCGTCATTGCAGAGTCATTACGGTTTCATTACAGACCCCTGAGATCGTTTTACTTCGATCGCTGTACTTTGTGTTTTATAATACTCATATTCTCAGTCGTATTAAGATCAAGGAACCGTTAAGATTGAAATCATTTCCGAAGCAATTACGGGCGTAAGGCGGCATTGTGTTCTCTGATATATCTTTGTACTACTCAAATTGATTCATAATTCCGTCGATTAGTCCGAGTCCATTTGCTGAAAAAGATGCCCACATCGTAATATTTCTACCGGCACGCTTGACCGTGTCTGAAGTGCATCTTAGATGCAAATCTTCATCTTTACGACATCCAACGCATTCCATCGGGTGACAAGCGATTGAACTTTGATATTCATCGAAGAGTATTATTCTTCTCCAGTGCTCGTTAGCTTCAGCGAAGGCAATCCTCAATTTTCGACTTCTTAAGCTCATCACTGACTTTTCCTCACGCAATTCGTCCGTCGAATCATTCAAACTCCCGAAGAGAGTCTTCTAGCAAGTTCTGCCATGAATTTCCACGTCGACCGTTTTCTTCTGTAAGATCAGTAGCTAGGCGGAAATGCTCCTCCTCACTTACTTAAACGATTCTTCGACTCTCTTTTATAGCAGTTTTTCACGGGGTCGTTCTACTTTCGTAATAAACAGTCTTCGGAAATTTGTATCGAGTCGTATCCGATCGACTTCCAGTGTTTGCTATCTTCGGAAGGCACATTTCCCTCTTCCTTCCTGTTTTACGAGTTCTTTCTCTTCTGGACTTAAATTCCAATTTTTAACCGCATTTGTCTACTTGATAGATACATAACAATAAACAAATGACAGAGTGAATATGTCGTAGCGATATCTTTATGCGCTTGTACGTTCTGCTCGAAATCACCTCTCAGACTGTGAGCCATCTCGGTCTGCATGTCAAACGCAGGAAGATCAAATACTGTTTATCCTTGAAGATTACCGTTTGCGGCCAACAGACAGCTCGCAAATATGCGTACAAACGTTTTAGCGGGAAGGACACGTACATACTAGCCGCGTGTAGTTGGAATCCCGAATTCAGGCGTCTTGAATTTATCCGTCCGCTGCTGCACATCCGCAACACGGCGGCTTGCAATTGCCATCCGGGATCCGTTTTCTAAATTGTGCTTAAAGGACGCTGCTCTCGAGATCCCACTGTGTGGCCGCCAAAGGAATTATTGTCGCGCGCAGCACTCTGCGGTTGCTATCGGGTGACGTTCCGTTTCCCGACTCCCGGGAGAAACACACACACACACTCATGAGCCACCGGACGCTATCGGAATTTCTGCGAATCGGTTAGTGCACTTCCGGGTCATCTTTCGATTCGCGTTTGACAACGTCCGCCGCTGCAGGACGCCGTCGGGATCGATATGCTACCCTCGGTTACGTCTCGCCCTTTCAGGGGGTGCTTGCGAAAGAGAGAGAGAGAGGGAGGGAGAGAGAGAGAGAGAGAGAGAGAGAGAGAGAGAGAGAGAGAGAGAGAGAGAGAGAGAGACAGACAGACAGAGAGAGAGAGAGAGAGAGAGGGGGGAGAGAGAGAGAGAGAGAGAGAGAGAGAGAGAGAGAGAGAGAGAGAGAAAACGAAAGGGCGAGGGAGAGCATTCTTCGCATTGTGCTCCTTGGCTTTCTGGCTCTTGGCCGAGTCCAGGCGACTCTCGAATCGGACGACTTCCCGGTGGACGTACCGCCGCCGCTCCCGTTCTCGCGACGTTTACGCCCGCCTTTTACGCCCGATAAAGCACCGCGTAACTACTGACCGACAGATGGGGGAAAGGATGGGGGGAGAGAGCGATTCAAAGAGAGACAGAGGTCCCATCGTTTGGCCAAGTTGCGCTAAAGCGCGGTTTACACGACGCGGCTCGCTCGGGAACGGCGAGGGTAAATAGACGAGCTCCTTTCAGACGCGCTTCCTCCATGCTTTACGCTCGCGGACGCGAGCTTTTGATCCTGCGCTCGGTATCCTGCACTCAAGAAATTAGTCTACTCGTGAGTCGCCGCGATGGTTGACCCGTCCCGTCGGCCGACGAGTTTCTTCTTGAGAAATTCGCTCGGGTTCACCGTGAAACGCTCAATCGCACCCAACAACCGATCGACTCATCAACTGAGGAAACCGGGGAAAAGCACGAGTAAAAAAAATCCTCGCTGATTGTCCGCCGTCGAGAAGCAGTTTGTTTCTCGGCGGTAAAGTTATCCTGAGACACCTTTGCCATTCTCACTTGCAGTTAACCCGTTAACACTGCTGAATTAACCTCCCTTGAGAAAATTATTAAAATACTTGGTAGTCCTACGTTCTTTGGGTCGCTGATTACGAATCTAAAGTCAGATTTGCAAAATTCAACATGGCGGACTCAATATAGCGATCATGATGTACAAAATTAATGAAAATTCCAATTGTTATTAAATAATGACCAGGTCGTAACAAGAACATATTATTTTAGACATTTTAGACGATGGAACTCGATCGAGCTGGAAAAAATTTATGTGGGAAAATGTTCAATACTGCATATTTATGCTTTCTAAAGATTAAACATTCATTTTTTAGTAAAATAATATTGATAATATGAATAAGATGGAGACACAGAATGAAAAAAGAAACTATTGGAATATGTTGAACAACTATTCAGTTATCTGGAAAACTCAAATCCCCGATTAGTTCTTCAAAATCATGTGATTTACAACGCAAAGTTGAATCAAGAAAAGGTGGGAAGTATATTTTCCATTAACAGTGAAAGGGTTAAATCGAACAGCTGGACGGGCCAACGTCAAGCGGAACTAACGATTGAAATCAGATATTAAATTAAGGGTGGAATTACGTGCGAAGCGGGTTATTTTTACAAATTTTTTTAACAGGAACGGTCAGGATCGATGGACTTGAAATTTTCACAGTGTATTTATTAATGTTCAAGATATAAAATAAATTTGTTACTATCTATATGAGAAGTACACATAAAGCTTTAAACACGTTCATCTGGAAACATTTCCTTAAACTGTGTCGACACAATTATGCAAAAACTGTTGAACCGAGTAACTCGAAATTTTTACACAATGTACAGTAGACATGTAGTTTTCGCCCCTACCTCGAACACAGTTATATTTTATTTTATTCATTTTTTAAAACATGATTACAAATTGAAAAAAGTTTCATTTTTGATTGACTCTTTTTTGTGTGGTCATTATTTCTCGAAACTTGGCTTCACTGCCTTCATTTTGGTACGGACTATAATGGCAACGGTATATTTTTAAATCTCTCTCACATTTTGGTTTCAGAGTAGTGAGAGACTCGGAATTACGGTCGACAGCAAAACATAGAGCTCGCACGGATGACTGCATTTTCAACTATAATTACAAATCGGATCGGTTCTTGTGACTCAATAAAATTTATTTTACACTTTGGACATTAATGAAAATTTCCAGTCCATTGATCTTACCCGTTTCTGTTAGAAAAATTGGTGAAAATAGCTTTGAAAATGGCCTTCCGCGTATAATTCCCCCCTTAAATCGAACAGCTGGACGTCAAACGAAACTAATGATTGAAATATTAATTAGATATTAAAATAAATATTAAATTAATCAAAGATATTAAATTAATCAAAAAATATGCCAGGTTGTAAGCAACGATTAGAATTCAGATACCGGCGATCCGCAACTCGACTCTCGTTTGCAAGAGCGAAACGGAGAACCGCCGAGCTCCCGCGCCATTTGTCGGCCGACATTTTTTCGATATCGCTACGATCCACGTGCAAAAAATTCATTTCCCCCACCACCACTACTCGCGATCGCCCGGTAAATGTCTCCTCAGGAAAGCCCTTGGCTTCCCCGACACGTTCTCCTCCGTAGTCCTCGCCAAGTCGGGGAACGTCTGACCACGCAGTCTTGAGGAATCCTCAACTCACCGAGGGAGTGGTGCTCCTGTGGCTCGCACCTCTCGGAAGCGGCAAGGATGCGTTCTTCGGGTTGCCCGGGCCGTTGCAGGGCCTCTGATTGTCTCGTCTGGAGGGCGGTGGCGGCGGCGGCAACGACAGCGGCCGGCCGCCGCCTCGTGGATGATGCTGCTGCTGCTGCTGCTGCTGCTGCTGCTGCGACGTCGGCTGGAACTGACTCCAGGACTGGCGCGGCAGGTAGCCGGCCGTCACGTAGCCGCCCGAGATGAATTGCGCCGAGCCGTTGAGGTGCGGCGGCGTCATCACCGCCGTTTGCTGCGCCTGTCCGCCGTTTCGCATGTTTCGCGCGCGCACTCTCTCTCTCTCTCTCTCTCTCCCTCTCTCTCTCTCTCTCTCTCTCTTTCTTTCTCTTTCTCACGCCGCTCGCGTTCTCGCGCGGGCTCGGCTCGTCCTTGCTGCTCGTCGCCGCTCGCTCCGGACACCGAGACACCGATCACTCACGAGCCGGGAGAGCCTCGTGGTCCTCGGCACTCACGCACGCACGCACTCATTTTCTCGGCACACGGCCGCATACGTGAACGGGACGTCGCCGCGCGCCGCAGGATTCGCGCTGCTCCGCCGAGGATTCACTTTTCGCGCGACGCGCCTTCGGTTGCGGCTGAAGCGCCGAGTCTTGTCGCCGAGGCGGTTTTAGCCTCGTCTAGTCTCTGCGAAGAAAAAGACGAGCTGGGAGGGGGTGCGGGACGAGAGCTCGCGGGCGGAACTTTGTATGATCGAGCTCCGTGTAATCGAGATTACAGTTTCACTCGGTCTCCGGGACCATCGCGGATTTGTTTCCCCACGTTTCGCGAAAGTTTCAGAGAGACCTCGAAGTTTCGGGCTGTTCTCTCCCCTGGAACTGAAAATGTTCACGAGACGTCGGGACGAGTGCGCGATGGATCAGCCAGGAAACCAAATCAGGCATTCCCCGTGAAAGTCTAAAAAAATATGCAGGGCTGTCCGTAAGATTATATTATATCAAGTGTAAGGTACAAGAGTACGGTGTTAGAAAATGTGGAGTTCAATTCTGCATGATCAGACACCCGAGTTGGCGATGTGCGTCCTTTGCGAATTTGTTTCCAAGGACTCGTGAAACATTCACTTCTTCAGGGCGAGGAACGAGGCCGGAAAGTTCCTCTTGCTGAAAAGATAAGTCGGGATGTTCGCGAAGCGTCGGAAACAGAGTCGCGAAGGACGCGGCAGCAACCCGGCGAAATCAAGCATTCTTCGGCGGCACAGGAGGACCTGAAGTGTTGCAGCTCGATTGTACGATTACGTGTAAACATATTTAGCGAAACTGCGTTCTAATTAACGCGAGCCGTTCGCGAACGGACAGAGAGATAAAAACGCTTCGTAATTGGCAGACCCCCGGCGATCGGCCCATCGCGTATCCTACCCTCTTCTTTTTGCGCTCCCCCTCCCCCCCCCCGTATCCTGTCGTCCTTCGTTATATCCGGCGCGCTAATCTACCGAGGAGGAAAAAAGCGCTGCTAAAGGACGCGGACGTTTCGGCAAAAAGACTCCGGCAAGGGTATCTACCCGAGAAGAACGAGAGGGGGGGGGAGGAGAAAAAAGAAGAGCGAAACCATTTTTGAGAGGCACTGCCTCACCATGGCTCGAACGGCGAAAAACGCGAAAAATAATCAAATTTTCGACTTTGTTCTAAAGCTTCGAAATTTTTATGTTATGTTCTTCCACTACACTGATAGAAAAATATAGTTGAATTAACTATAATCTCACTATATTTTATAGTTCATTTTGGCGTCAACCATATTTTTATAGTTCCACAGTTTATAGTGGAACCTGCAAAATATAGTAGAATAAACACAAATATATAGTCGATGATTGTCTTAAATAATTGTTTAGTTACTTTTACCACATATATGGTAATTTTTCATTCACAAATATAGTGAGATTTAATATTCACATAGTTACATCTGTCATCATTTTGCAAATATTCTGGTAATATTGACTATATAAAAGAGTTACTTTACCTACCATTTTATATTTGTATCCATACAATAATTTTAATTTAACTTACTATAATTCTTAGTAGAAATATTATATGGTTGGTTGTACTACGCCTATATCGTAATTATTACCGATATTATGGTAATACTTACTATAAATATGATATTTCGGACTATAATTTAGTTACTATATCATTATAGTTCCAAATATCGTATACTTTTCTCTCAGTGTAAGAAGCTATCAACTGAACTGCACGCTCTTTTCCAAGGACTTATTTAAAAAGTTTTATTGGACATAAAGTATTTAACATTTTACGACTGAGTTAAGTGCTCAATTTTACCACTGAAATTCGAACCTTTTAAAATTTGATATCTTTTTTTATTATTGAAATGTAGTAACATGGTTTATAAATAAATGTTTATAAATATATCTCAATGTATAAAATTACATGTTTGAAACACATCAATTGTTATTAAATGCATTACAACATTGTACGTAATAAGAGCACTTAAAACTTGAACGATTTTCGAATTAAATTTTCCGTACGAAATGAAGGAACGCTTAGGAACGAAAAAAGTTACTATAAATATTTAATATAATGTTCAAAGAAAATAGGTAACTTTAATTTGGCTGCAGTTACTCGCAACTTTTCAAGTAACAACAATTTTTCGATGCGATTCGCGCCGTCTCGCGCGAAATCTCACCGTCTCTTTCGCGGGGAGCGCTATCTCGCTCGCACGAGATAGCGCTAAAAGGATAAAAATAATCTAGTTATTATGATAATAGTAATATCTCTTATATGTTACACTTCAGTTAAATATGCGGTATTGTTTTTAAAAAGAATTATAATTTTTCAAGTTAATGCATTTAAGTTCCCTACTTTTATAGTAATAAATGATAAAGTATCAATAGATTTACAATATTTATCAAATAGATATTCTTTTTTTCGCAAATTTTGTGTTTCGAACCACTGTGCGCCGCCGTGCCGCGGTCGAGCGGCTCGAGAGCTTCTCCAGCGAGCCAAGCTGAAGCTTGCGACAATTTCGAGTGGCCGACGTCGTTGCAGGTTTTAACGCCAAACGCGAGACGTCCGCGAAGGCAGAAATCGTGATTATAATCCGGGTCGCCGGCGGCTAACGGCGGAGAAGAGGAAGAGCCCGATCGGGCGCAGGTGTGATCGGATTAAATTTCGGCTTACGACGGCACGTGGCCGGAATATCGAACGTCGAGGAAAGCACTCTCGGTGACAACAGGAAGGCAAGGCTCACCGGCTATTCCGGAATGTTCGTTCACTCGGAGCCAAGTCGCTCGACTAGCTCGTTTCCCCTCGGAAAATTGCAACCACGGCGAATCGACGCACCAATTGTAGAACAATATCAATCGTAATCAATCTGAATATAATTGGATTGTAAACAAGCAAATGCAATTTGAAATTCATATTCAACATTCAAATATGATCTGAAAAAC